TTTTTTGTTCGTTTTTTAAAAATAACTTTTGCAAAAAATAAGTTGTTTTCACGAAATCTAATGTAATTTAAATGTAATATCTAGAGAGCGCTGCGTACGCTGTCATTATTCATTTATTTCAAATTGCCCTAAGCTAAGCAAATTTTTGACAGTAAACTTTCGGTATTTCTCATGAAAAAACCTGATTTCTACACCTTCTCCAAGTAAAAAAGGTACACTTCCTCAACAACTCTGTAGGTAATTGTTTCCGAGATATTTACAATTTTCTATACCGATGCATATCACTTAGCTCCTAGGGCATTATGGAATCTAGGTTTACTATTATTTATCTAGTGAGCACTTAATTAGCACTTTATTTTGATTGTCAATGTTTTAGTTTACGAGTATCTCAAGACTTTATTGCATACTGTTAATTTTTTCCCATATCAGGTATCTCGAATTTTTTTTCACTTATTCGCGGTCGTTTTCATCTTAATTTCTTGCAAGCACCTATTTAGCACTTTATTAACACGCTTAGTTTATACCTGATAGAGCATTCGTCCTCGTTTTCGAGAGACCTGATTCTTAGATCTGTTGTTTAGCGAAATTGGAAGCTTTTGTTAATTAATTAGAAAATTTTATGATCCTCACCGTTTAGCACTTAATTAGCACCTAATAGTGTTCCCTTAACATTCATTATTTTATTATTATTTTCATTACTTTGCTAGCATCACATACTGCTAGCAACGCAAATTTGAGTATTGAGTTGTGATGTAAGTTACAGAGCACCTAATTTTTGACTTCGGTACCTAAAAAACACCTAGAAAGTACCTAATTTTGGCATTTTCTAAATGCGATTTCCGTACTCTGCTTTGCTGGCGTAACAGAGCTCCTACAGCGGTGTTGAGGAGGTGTATCCTTTTCACTTGGAAAAGGTTTTTGAATAAGGTTTTTCATGAAAAGTACCAAAAGTTTGGTGGCAAAAGAATTATGCTAATTTGAAATGAATAATGACAGCTTACGCAGCGTCCTCTATTAGATGATACATGAAAATTATCACGAAATTATGATTTCCGACGTTAAAAAACCCCGGGTACCAACTTTCGTGCAAATAATTTATTTTTTGCAAAAGTAATTTTGAAAGACCAACAAAAAGAAACAATTTCAACACCCTATGTCTCCGAAACGAATTTCCAGACGCAAGTTGATGTAAACTTTTTTCTCATGATTATATCAGAAATACGTTACTTGAATATTTCAACGCACCCTGTAGAATATTAATAATTCAAGTGAGAGAATTACTAACATATTAATACAATTCAACTCACCTGATATCTGAATTCCATCTTGAACTATGAACGGTGACTGAGAAAGTGTTTTGTAAGTGAAAGTCAACTACAACAACATGCACGATACAATTATTCACCAATTAATTATAAATAACATTATCATATGGGGACAAGCAACGGAATGTAGCCGGGTACTCATTAATAAAAAAATAATTATACGACTGATTTTCAGTCTAGAACAGGGGTCTCCAAACTTTGAAGCCTTCGGGCCATAAAGATTTTTTTCAGTTTGTTCCAAGGGCCAATTTCTGCCCTTAACTATATTTCTAGACTAGGATAGTCGCAAAGTGCGTGACCTAAGCAAACTTACGCTTTTTTGCATTTCAATTATTATTGTGTATTGTGACACTTAACGACATCTAGTGACGAGTAGTGCTACTATGTACTATCTTTTTCAGCTACCCGCTAAGTGGCATTAGGCATAATTAAATATTTGGAATTACCGCGTTGGTTCGAGAAAATTCTGGTTCTAGCTAGTGTATTCCGATCACCTCGAGATGACAGTAAATAAAAAGGCTAGCGGCGCAACTGCGAGTTAGTCTGCGTAGGAAAGGCGAAGGAAGCGAAACTGTCTATTGTGAAATGAAGTAACACCCGTCAGTAAGAGTATTTTGATTTTGTTTTTAAGTGTGATTTGTTAATATGGAAAAGAAGCGAAAAATCGACAGTGAATGCAGAACGTTCCAAGAAAAATGGAACTTTCAGTTTTTTGTGATTGAGTCCAGTAATAAGGCGCTATGTTTAATTTTTAATGAAACCTGGTGTTCAAATTTCTGAACTAAAATGAATCTTTCTATTTTCGGAAAGAGAATTACTAGAATACGTAGCCTTACGTTGTATACTGCTATTGTGTTCCCCGTTTCCAGATTTCCTATCAACTGGAAACTCAAATGTTAAATTTTTCATTCATGAGCAAATTGTTTCACAAACTATAAATATAGGTGACCGAAGTTTCACCCACATGAATGATAATTCATTAATTGATTTCAATTATTCGGATACTAAATGTTGCGGAAAGCAAATAGAATGATGGAAAGCCGATCCAGATAGATTGAGATGTTTGAGCGTTCATGTACAAACAGACGAACAAATAGCGATCAATTACATATTTGACCTATGTATTGATTTTTTTTTCTTCATAGAGTAATCATGAGCAAGATGAACCGAACTGTCACATTACTTATGCTTTCTGACTGAATTATTCATACATAACTCAAAGCGGCCCTTCGTCTAACTTTTGTTGAATTATTTAACAACAGGAAAACACTCCTCAGGGGTGAACTCTCTCGAAATCAAATCCAACCTAATTATTATTCAAGTTCGTAATCATTGGAGGAGATTACGAGCGAATCGATCTTGGGTATACGAACTATTCCTGAATAACTGTTCCGTTTTGACTTGAGATACCAAAAAGCGAGGATTTTCGAAAGGAAGTACCTATTATCTACTATTCACGAAGCAATGATAATCATGCTTTCTAAATGGATATCTGCCATACAGGGGGGTTAACTTTAAAGTATTTATGAATGGATACTTAGAGAAGTAATGAACAATTGTTTGAAGGTGGTTGACAATGTTTCGTGGTGTATTTCATCAGTTCGAACTTCCATTGTCTAATATTATATAAATTGATTTGAAATTCCTGAAAAAATATTGAGAAGATTAACCGAAAATAACAATTGTATTGAACAAAAACTGAAATAACAAAAAAAAGACCTTCAAGGGAATGGTGACTCCAGAGAGATGGTAGAACAGGCTTTAGCTATAGTCCGTTCATAATTTGTCGATAGCACAAAATGAGGGCCCAAGTCATAAAACGGTCGTAAAACTCGTAAACTCATAGGCGGAGGTTCGTGAGGTGTTTATTCATAAAATATAAAGCTTCAGTTTATATTCGAAACTTGCCTTGAAAGGGTGAAGTTGTTACGAACGAAAATAATTTTTGGTTTAGTACATTTTTTAATCGCATTTAATTTACGGCTCGTTGGTGTTTCGGCGTCTACGGCAGTAATTAACGTCTCTAATATTTATTTTGCGAATTTTGTGCAGTGCNCACTGCACAAAATTCGCAAAATAAATATTAGAGACGTTAATTACTGCCGTAGACGCCGAAACACCAACGAGCCGTAAATTAAATGCGATTAAAAAATGTACTAAACCAAAAATTATTTTCGTTCGTAACAACTTCACCCTTTCAAGGCAAGTTTCGAATATAAACTGAAGCTTTATATTTAATGAATAAACACCTCAGGAACCTCCGCCTATGATTTTACGAGTTTTACGACCGTTTTATGACTTGGGCCCTCATTTTGTGCTATCGACAAATTATGAACGGACTATAGCTGTTTTAAGCAATTTGGGCCACATTATCCAACATAAACACTATTATACTCCGGACATTCAAACTTCCACATTGTTTTTTCTGAAAAATCCCGCAATTGTCCCTGTTCTTTCACCAAAATATGTTGAAATTATGTACACATTTCTTGATTTCTGATTGTTTGATCTGGGGGTGTTTGAATCTGTACGTAAATTTAAGGCTTTGTTTTCTGACTAACTTCGGGATTGTGTTTGCGTTGAAACCATTATTCTGTCCTATCTGTATAATTGATTTCCCTTTCCAGATTGTTAGCAGATAAAGGTAACGAGAATGCCCTGTGTAACATTGAATTGTAGGCTGCTAATTTATGACTGTCAGGATGACTTGGAATTGTAATGTCTGCAGTGCTCTGTTTTCTGAATACATTGAACTCAAATATATTATGATTATGTGTGATAGTCAAGTCTAATTAATCTGTTTCTCTATCTCTGTTTCGATACAGTTCACACCAAATTGCTCCCCGCTTTTCCGTCTTCACACATTTTTTCAAAGGGAGATATGTGAATTATACGAAGGAGTAGATTTCAGACAAAAACTTTCGATTTGAATGAAATATATTGCATGATCTACACATCTTCGTAAAGAGTTGATTTTGAAATCGTTTGCATTCTTGAAAAACGAGAGTTGAAATTTTCTGTTACCAGTGTCACTGTTTTTCGAGTTTGAAAGCCGTGGATTTTTGGAATTTCTTCCTGACGTTTCGCTGGCGCGAGTGGCTGGCTTCTTCAGGGGTTTAACCATCATGGCTTGCTGTCCGATGACTAACAATGGCGCGTTTTCGACCGGAGGCACCAGTTGACCTGAAGTGATGCTGTGACCGCGCGCTCTCCGCCCTCTATCTCGAAAACGGTTCACCGTATAACAATTTTTTTCAAACAAAATTTGTAGAGAATTTTGTATTCTACAATATTGATAATGAATACAAATAGCATAAAACCCATAGGAAATGAGATATTTCCAAAAAAAGCGCAAAAAAACGATTTTTGTGACATTTGACCTTGAAATTTAATAGTTGCTTACACCCTACCATATGTAGGTTTTGAGACAACTTTTAAGGTGTCAATATACAAGTACTTACAGACTTACAGATTCTTACCTAATTTAAGCTTAAATGGCTGGATTATTATAGCGTTAGAGGAGACTAGCCTCCAGTTGGTCTCGGTTAGTGTACGACTGCGTTCGTTTTTTATTTTATTATTCGGACGGGATGCCGTAACGGACCGGAACTGAAAAATATTTCGGTAAATCGTTCTATTGTTTCTTGATAATATTTGTTAGTTGCAACCATATCAGTATAATGTACAGGGGCTCCATCCATCTGATAGCATGATTTGAAACGGTATTGTTCAGAAACATGCATTGTGGATTCACCAACCACATTTCTAATTATATGCGAATATATATCGCTATTCAAATTCTCTTCATAAAGATATAAACATAAAATTCGGTCTTCCTCTAAAGCGCAAAAACATTAAAACTCCATGAATCCTGAAAGTTGCGCTGGCGAACGAGCTTTGGATTTTCTGACGCCCAAAAATGGCTATTATGGCGGTTGTACATACCATTCTTGGCAAATTTGGCTTCCTCTGTCCATATCATGTTCTTCATGAACTCAGGGTCCTCCTATATCTTGATAACAAACCATTCGCAGAATTCCACTCGTGCAGGTAAGTCGTGAGGTTTTAGATTTTGAATCTGGTGATATTTAAAGGGACGCCACTTATGTTTGATTAAAATCCGGTTTATTGACGAACATGCAATTCTAAGTGACTTTTCTGCGTCTGTCAACGAATTTTCTGGATAGGCTGTGAAGTAGGCCAAAACTACAATTTTGATGTCCTCATTGTTAACGAGTGGTTTTTTTCGTTGATGACAGACGAAAAAGATCCGAAATCAAGGCAGTTTCTTAGAAGTCTTCTCAGAATATTTGTAGTGGGTCTGTGTAGATTTGGAAATCTTTCTGTAAAAACACGACAAGTTATCTCCATTATCTTATTGCATTCACCATAAATTCAAGAAATCTTCATTAGACATTTTGCACACAAATAGAAAACTACGAAATACACGTCAATTATATCGCATCAAATTTTGACATATTTGTTGTAACTTCATTTGTTTTCAAAGCTTTCTTGGTTTGGTATTACTTCTTTCTTTGAATGATTTACATTTCAAATATTTCCCAAAATCGGATATATCTTGCCAGGGGTGTATTTTAGGTATAGGACATTCTTCATGAATTTGTTATCTTTTTTTTTCGTAGTATCCAAAAATAATAGAATAGTATATGGTTTCTATTTGAAAAAATCGTGTTTCATCAGTTTCCTCGATGTTATGTTTTAGGTGGAAATTTCGACCACCCTGTAAATTATTCTCAAACATTCGATGAACCTGTTCATGACTTAATGCTTAAGGTGTGATTCTGTGGAATTTCATATTTTCAACGGTTACTGTCTATGAGTTATGATTTTTTCGAAGTGGTGCTGTAACAGTCAAATTTTTCAGAAAAAAAATCAATATCTTGAAATCTAACAAATTTGGGTATAGGCATTGTTATACACAGTGGTCCTACAATGTGCTGAGAAATTCAAAAAGGTAATGAAATACAGGGTGTTCTATTTGAAATAAGGAAGTTGCCCTCACCTTCCCTATACCGGAAAGAGACCGGAAGTTGAAAATATTTTAGTTGAGAAGGCTATTTT